GACCCCTCAAGGCCTACTGGACGTAGCCCCCATTCATCAAAGGGGGGCATCTGCCCGGTGAACTCCACCCTGTTTGAGCAGCAGTACAAGAGACAGCCCTCCAGTGGCATATCGGCTGGCGAGGGGTCGCCCGCCAGGACCTCGAGCACCATTCTTCGCGCCTCGAGCGGAAGCCCCGACTCCTGAAGCCTCATGCGATCCTGGCTGACAAACAGGGCCAACATCGGCTGGGAATGGCGCTGGAGTGGGGCGACGCGGCGTCGGAGGAACTCCTTCATCACCATGGGCGCAGTCAAGCCAAGATCTTTCAGCCTCTTCAACCGGAGCCAGACGAAGGCGAGGCGGGGGCTCGCAAGCTTCTCGTTATTCCAGCCGAAGCTGGGGACGGTGGGCGTCGACGGAGGCAAGAGCAAAGAGTTGAGCACTCCGACATCCACATACACCCACCGCGTCCGAAACCCGCTCGCGGGCGGCGGAAGTTCAAAGTCAATCCCTGAGCCGGCCGTCGCCACCACGGCCTGGAAGCTCAAGCACCCCGAGCATTGCCCGTGGTCGGTCAGGTGCAGCGAGAAGAAATGGCGCAGAAGGGCCACGGAGGGTGTGATGCCCACCATGGCCTCGCAGACGAAGGAAAAGATGGCAAGAAGAGCGACAGATTGGGGATCTATGTGCAACATATGAATCTGGTAATGAAAAAGCACGGCGTTGAAGAAGGCGGAGAAGGGAGGGACCAGGCCGACCCACAGGGCGTCAATGAAGAATTGGACCTCGGTGGTTGTTCTATCAGCAGAAACTCGGGACGCAGGCCAGGACACCGTCCCTCCCCATTCGTTGAAGCTGGTGGCGAGCGTAGGGCGAACCTTGTCCATGGCCTCCCGATTGAGCACCCGCGATCGGCCGACGGCGGGCTCGACGGCCAGAGGCGGGCTGGCTGAGGACAGGGGCTTCTTCCATTTCTCCGTTCGGTTCGGTGCCATGGCGTTGGAAATGACTGAGCTCAGGTCGGATTGGGAGAGGAAGCTGAGGTTCGAAGAAGCGGAGAAGTTGGGGAGTGCGTTGCCAACAATGGGGAAATAACTGTGTAGGACGCCGAGGCCGCCTAGCCAGGCGGATATCAAGGCTGTATGGGGAAGCGGGGCTGCCACGTTCAATCGGTCGTCACGCATCAAGCGGGGCCGCAGGCTGTTGGGGTCCGCGGTGCTCCGCACTTGCCCTTTGGCTTCGCCACGAAGCCAAGTCCGAGCGCGCCTTGAGCCCGGGGGCTACTGTCGGCGTCCTAGGAACGGGTGTCCCCGAACTTGCCTGCCTGTGGCCCACAGCATGGCCCCACCAGCGGCCATGTACGGCCCATCTTCACCAACAAACACTCAAGACCCTCGCGAGGGGCCCAAGCCTCGCGAGGCGAACGATGCAAGACCTCCTCACGAGCGGCCGCACCAGGCTGGCTCGCGAGGGGCGGAGAGATCAAGGCAAGGGACACCTCGCGAGGTTCCTGTGACGCAAGCCATGATGATTGGAGCCAGGCGGACGCCAGCGGGCGCAGTGTCCTCGTTTCCTCTTTGGTGCTAAAGGGGAAAGCGCAGGCGAGGAGTCCCGAGGCATCAGTCAAAGGTTTCCATATCGGTGCAACAAGTCCAAGACCAGCAGGACGGCAGGACAGAGGTCACCGTGGAGCCCAAGACGGCGTCACCACCAGAGCCTTTGGCAGACGAAGACCACCTTTAGTCAGGATAACTTGTACTAGCTGTCTCCCTTCGAATTTGGCCGTTGTGGGATCCCTTCCCGCTCAATATTTGGGAAGAGGACCGGGGCCTCTATAAATAGGACTAGCCACCACCATAGAAAGGGGGATCATTTAGATCGTCCTCTACCACACAAGCTCACCGAGCACAAGAACACCTCTCCTCAGGAGGCTGTTCTTCCCTTGTAACTGTTTATCCTCAGCCCAAGAGGCAATCCACCACATCACACTGGAGTAGGGTATTACACCACATCGGTGGCCCGAACCGGTATAAACTATTGTGTCTCTTGTTTTTTGGGTTCGTCGAGCTAGGCCTTGTGATTGCAGTGAGAGCGATCTAGGGAGAGAGAGATCTTCGTGCGCACCCCAGTGTTCGAACCTCAAGGGTTTTGTCGGAACCCGAAATCCGACAGTAACGATCCATGTTGTAACTTGTCCCTGAGCAACCCTCAAAAAAGAAAACTTATCCCTCAGCAAAGTTTGATGAAACTTGACGCCTTGGGCGCCTCTGGTTTGTTAAAAAAATAATGTGTGATGGCAGCAGCCATAATTTCAGGGAGAAGATGAGGCATGCCATCTTGATGTAAATAGCTACTCCCTTCGTTCAAAAATACTTATTTTCAAAAATGAATAAAATTGATATATCTATAATTAAAATAAGTCTAGATACAACCATTTGCGAGGACAAAGTATTTATGAACGAGGGAGTACCTGTTACCAGTCTCTCGTCTCTTCCCATTTCTCTCTCTGTGGACACAGCGGCGACCCGCAACAGAGCCCAACCACCTGCGGCGCGACCTAGCCGGCGAGCGGCGGCAACCACAGGTCTGGCGAGGGGCGGCGTTCAGGTAACAGCCTCTCCCCTGTCTACATTTATCCGCTTCTCCCCTTGCCTATTGCTGCTCTTTTAACCTAAAATCTGAGATCGTGGGGATTTCCTGTCCTTTTTTTCCTAACCAACGCGCGATTCTCGTTCGCTGCTGAATGCGAGCAACCAAACCCGAGTCTTTCTTTGCAAGGACCCATCTAGTCGCGTTCTAGGTTCGATTGTTCTTGCAGAAACTTGCTTTCCCCCAAATTTTGGGGGTTTACCTGAAGTCCTAGAAACCCCACTCGTTGCTTCTAGTCCACCTGCCGAGGAGAGGAGGGAGACGACATCCATGCATTCCCTGGTTATTAACGGGGTCAAAGAAGTATTATTCATGTTGCGCGCAGGTCAGGAAACTTTTTCCCGATGTCCAAAACTCCGCCTTGAAATTGTATGGCGTTTCAAGTCTGAAATGTTGCAGGTTCAGGAAAGATGATCTGGGTGCTTCGTTCAGTAATGTCTCCTTTGTTAGTTATCCGACACCGGACCTAGTTCTTGCATACTGCTGCTTGTGTTCTTTAATTGTGTTCGAAATGCTTTCAAGCTCTCCTAACAAAGCCTTGCACCGCCTCGGCGGCGGCCTCGGATTGCAATGCATTCATGACTCTATGGGGCAGGGCCGTGCCTTTGCATTGTGTGGGTGGCGACCTGGTGCTGCGTGGGTAGCGAGTTCGTTGACCCGGTCGACGCGACCCGAGGGGTCGGTCTGGCTGGTACGTCAAGGCAGCGGCCTCGGATTTTGGCGCATTGTTTGTGGTCTGCAGGTAGGCGTCTCGCGTAGCATGGGCTATAAGGCGTCAGTTTTTTGCAGCGGTGCGGCTCGCCTACGAGCGGTGGAAGTCGGAACGGCGGCTCCGGATCCGAGGGTGTGTGTTTTAGTGCGGTTGTAGCCTTGTGTCGTGTGGTCGACGAGGCTTTGTGGCTTGTGCGGTTTTTGGCCTAGTTTCCCTTATAAACTGAGCTGCTATGTTTCGTTTTCGATCCGGTTTTCCTTATAAACTAGATCAAACTCTTGGCATGTTGGCCACTTTGAGTAATATATTCAGATGGGGAAACTTCCTCCCCGGTGATTCTAAAAAAAAAAACTTTGCACAGAATTTTGTGCCGACAGGAAGCACATATCTATTCATGGTCAGTATGTTGATAGCCATTGTAAATCCATGCCCGCCTTTTGGTCACTGTATTTGACTATGTCCCCTGTTAAAGTTAGCATCAATCATGGCAGAAATCTAGTAGTACTAATAGTTGGAGCCTTTGAATGCTGATAAATTTCTGAAATCTTTCCGCACTAAGGGACCGCCGCAAGAAACGTCTTCTCTGATTTTGAGTTGCGAGTAAGCAAATGAACTAGCAGGAACAAACTTTCCGTATACAAGGTTAGTCGTTAAAGGCCCCAAAACCGGTATGTCTGCGCATGTCAAATGCACATAGAGTTGTTTGATTACTTTGGTGTGCTGTTCTGTGAAATGGGTTGCGCGGTGAAACCGGTAGATACATAACGGTCTTAATACAAAAGATAGAAAGGGCATTGTCCCAGTCGCTTGTAGAAAGACATTTATTTCCTCTTTAGGATTTTATCTGTTGCTCCTAATTTAATGCTATGCCTCCTGTTAAAGTTAGCATCAATTATGGTAGAAATCTAGTGGTACTAATAGTTGGAGCCTTTGAATGTTGATAAATTTCTGAAATCTTTGCACACTAATGGACCGCTGCAAGAAATGTCCTCTCTGATTTTGAGTTGCGAGTAGGCAAATGAACTAGCAGGAACAGACTTCTGTATACATGGTTAGCCCTCACAGGGCCCAAAACCGGTATGTCTGCGCATGTCAAATGCACATAGAGTTGTTTGATTACCTTGGTGTCCCCCGTGGTGAAATGGTTCCTGCTCCCTGCAATGAGAAAAGAATGTCGAGGTTACTTCTGTTAACTATAGTTTATTTTGAGATTTGTGCGAAGTTTCTATATAAGTATGCCGCAGCACAACTCTTTTAATGCATTTATATAAATTGACCAAAACCACACTTATTCTGCAATTGCAGAGTACAACTTATAGCAACGAACTATAAATTTCTGAGAAGTATAACGTAGAAGTGAAAACCCATAGTTTTGAGCTTTTAGTGTAGCATGCCTAATACGTTGTTGTAGATACGTAACGGTCTTAATACACAAGGTGGAAATGGCATTGCCTCTTTAGGATTTTACTAGTTACCTTCAATGTTATGACAGTATATTTGCAACTGTGTGTTCTCTATAGCAGAAGAAATGCGTTTTAAATTCTTGCCTGCCTGTAAAACCTTAAGCATGTTTCCTTATGATATTCAGTGAAGAATTGCTGCACCACTTGAAGGCTGATATTCATGTACAATTTTGACTTTTGGCAGGTAGTCAACCATGGTTTTCCTTCAGGAGGAGATGTCTTGGAACGTGCTGATCTCACCAGACCAGCTGAGCCCCAAGGGCCTGCTGCTCCGCAAGTCCATCATCGTGCGTCTTCTGGAGGACGTCACCAACAGGAAGGCCTCCAAGGAGCATGGCTACTACATTGCTGTAAACGAGCTGAAGACGATCTCTGAAGGGAAGGTTCGTGAGCTGACCGGAGACGTTCTTTTCCCGGTCACATTCACCTGCATCACCCAGAGGCCTATGAAGGGGGAGATCTTGGTCGGCTCCGTGGAGAAGATCCTGAAGCACGGCGTCTTCCTCAAATCTGGGCCGATCGAAAGCATCTTCCTATCAGAGAAGTCGATGAGCGACTACAAGTACATGGGCGGCGAGAACCCCATGTTCATGAACGACCACTCGAAGCTGGAGAGGGACACCGCCGTGCGCTTCAAGGTCATGGGGTTCCGCTGGATGGAGGCTGACCGCCAGTTCCAGCTCCTTGCGTCGCTGGCTGGTGATTTCCTCGGGCCGCTGTGAGCTGCTTCGGAGATGCTAAACCTGGCCCCTGCTGTACATTTTGTTATCCTGGTGGTGGTGGATGAACTTCGCTGTTGTGATGGCCGATGGAACATGGTTGGCTGGTTGCCGTGACTTTTCGCAGTTGATGCAGGCTGTAGGGTGTGATGACAATGGGATTTAGCTCCATGTCTTTAACTCATCAGTGTAGTGTGAATTATGACGGAACATATCACTTTTAACTTGGATGCATGTGTTTGTGGCCTTCTACTTGCTTGCATGGTTCCTATTTGATCTTGCTTGAAGCATATACAAACGCCAGTAAGATTTATCATCATGATCCATTGAGGTATCAGATGCAACCGTAATGTGACTTTTCTTCCAGTGCTTAAAGTAACTAGCATCTGCAATGGACCTCGGAATTGCTAGCCCAGGCAAAATGGCTGTCCATCGTAAAAAGAAACAGCAGAATCGAATCCATTTTATTCAGACTCTAGAAACTGTATGAACATCACGCATGCAGCAAGCAGCAGCACGGCCTGACTCAGGGTGCAAAAGCTAAGCTGAAGATAAGCACACAAATGTACAGGATGTACAGGACACATGCACAGATTACACAACCTGGGAATCATCCACAGGCTAATTGTCAATTATTATTACAAATAACACTGGATGGTTCAATAAGTTGCGGCCAACTGGATATATAGGACTCCAGCAAACTAAAACAAATGTAGACATTTGCGACGATGAGATCAGGCATGGTTACTCGCTGGCTTGACAACGGTGACCGGGCAGGCGGCGTTGTTCACGACGTAATCGCTGACGCTGCCCAAGAGCACCCTGCAGTTCAGAGATGCAAAAGATCAGCACTCTATTATGATGAAACAAACACACAATGTGGCTGAAGAAGAGTTTGGAGGTCAATTTGGTCGGTGGTCGCAACCTCTTGAGCTTGCCAAGGCCCCTGCTCCCAATGACCAGGCAGCTGATGGGCATGTCATGGATGGCTTGGCACAGCTTCTCGCGGGGATCTCCAAACAGGACTTTGGAAACCACAGCAACCTGCCGAAAAATGAAAACTCGGAATCTTGTTAAGCAAATGTGTCAAGGAGATCACGATGGTGATACATTATGGTGTGGAGTGGTCACCTCCTTCTGCTTAGCTATGGTGTTGAGCATGTCAAGTGTTTCAGCATCAGGCTTCACCCCATATTTCTTTGCAGTTGAAGGGTGAGAGAACTCCGAGAGGGGGATCAAAGCTGAAATGGAAGAAAGAAACGAGTACAGCGAGCACTGAGCAGTAGGCCACAGTTGTAAAACAACTTTATTTAGATAAACAAGGTGTGAGCATGCTAGGATCTTGCACATGTAAACTGCATGGACCAGGAATATCACACATGCCATTCATGGTCACATGAACAGCTAATTTACTTCGTTGATGCGTCCATATTTAACACTGTTCATAGCATAGATAGCATAGCATGCAGATGAGCACATGTAACATGATCTAGCTAACTACAGAACCATGGATGAGCTGATGGATGACAATCAGCAATCATGATCCCTGTGTAATTGAATTTGCAAGCGCGCTTAACAAGAAATGGTTAGATCCAGAGTTAGGATCGGGTGGTCAATTCGCCATCTGGCTAACCGAAATCTGCGCCGCTGCTCTCTCCCAGAGTTAAAGCGACACCTAGGAAAGCCCCGTGGACAGAGCAGAATGAGCGAACATCGGTTGCCAACCGCTCCCCGGACAAGCCATGCTCTGTCTTCGCTAGCACCCCCTCCTAAATCCGGTCAAAACAAATTCTACGACCAGAGCAGGATATTGCTGCTGCTGCTCTGCTCTAGTACAGCAAAAGGCAGACCAATTAATTCCAAGACAAGAAGCAAGTAGGCAACAGACATCGGCGAACATACGCGTGCGGATCATGGCAACTGCTACCCCTTGCGCCGACGCGGCTCGTACATATCGGAATCTTGCACGGGTCGGGGTGATTGGTGGGCGCGACCAGAAACTAAGATCAAGATCAGCAAGCAGGCAGACAAGTAGAGTATATAACTACCGCGGTACAGTAGCAAGAGCAGGAGGACTAGGGAGGAAGAGTAGGAGGAGTCTGGTTGGTACGCACGGGAGCCGGAGGCCTCCCAGAGGAGGGTCTCGCACTGCTCGTAGTCGGGGTCCTTGAGGACGTGCAGGAGGAGCAGGTTGTCGCCGGCGCGGAGCAGGTTGTCCGCCGCCCACTGCAGCGCCGCGCGGCTCCCCTCCGAGAAGTCCACCGCCAGGCCCACCCACCTCTCGCCGTCCGCAGCCATGGTCGATGTCTTCTCCTCTCCTCTCCTCGCTCGGCTCTTGGGTGGTGGTGGTGGTGGTGGTGGAGGCACCGCTGTTTGGAAGGAGAAGTGGGGAGACGCAGGAACAATTAAGGACGACGACGACGGGGGTGGTGGCCTTCTCTTGTCGGCCAGAGGATATTTGTTTGACGCGGTGCGGTGCTACTCGTACATGGCATGTGTGCGTGATTGATTGAGGGCGCCCACATGCGCACCCGCTGGGCCACGTTTGGAAATTTCCCTCTCCGCCTCCTGCAAAGATTCTTTCTCCTAATGTTTGTTCGCAATATGGAAAAAAATTCAAAAACTTGGAGTATAAAATCTACAAGATGCTTTCGAGCTGCAAGTTTGTTTGTAATCTGGACAAATGTCATGATTTCCTTGCGGGGATTATGGATTTCTGAACTTGTAATCTGGATATTCATACTCGCCACTTGGTTATTTTTGTTGCCAGTTGTAGAGAAACTGAAAGTTCCCCACTGACTACAAGAATCATGTTCAAGAGAAACATGTTTCTAGTATCTGCCAATTCAAAGAAATGGTGTTGTGGACTCCTCGCTCTCTCTCTCTCTCCACCAAATATATGCCAGCAGGCGTACTACTATGCCAAGTGTTGCGCGACTATGGCACGGCGCCGGTACACGGCCCTGTATGCTTCTGGAGCGATCATCAGCTCTGATGGGGACAACTGAAGGTGCCGACGGATATTTGGAGATCGACGTCACAATCTCCTGTGTGTGTTTTCCTCTTTTCGGTTGTTTCTTCCCGGTTTGGGCTGAAAATGTTAACGCCCACATGTGTGGGTGTCTGCATCTCGCTCACACGCGTGGATCCGCGTTCGTTCGTGAGCGCACGAATCTTGGCATGTTTTCAGTGCCACATAGGACTGGTCTGGTGTGTGGGCGTTCACCCGGTCGCCCACACGGCCGTTTCACTACACGGAAAGGGCTGGTGTGTGGGCGTTCAACAGTTTGCCCACACGCCACTTTTTATGCACGCACAAGGGCTAGTGTGTGGGTATTTGCCATCTCGTTCACACGACCGTCTCCTCTCCCACACCCAAGCTGCTAGTTGCCATATATTTTGCAGCGCACATGGCAACTACCCTAGTGTGCTTTATAAGCAGGTGGCAATTCTCTTTTTATCCGAGTTGCCATGTGTTTTGCAGGGTACGTACACGGCAACTGCCTAGTGTGCACGTAAGCAGATGGCAACTCTCTCTTTACCGAGTTGCCATGTGTTTTTGCATGATACATGGCAACTGCCCTAACATGGACGTAAGCAGATGTCAACTCTTTCTTTTACATGGCAACGCCATAGCATGCTTGTGAGCACATGGCAACTCTCTCAACTGCCTAGTGTTAGTATGGGGCAACTCCTAAAGTTTTGAAATCATGACAATCACATTAGACCAGACCATACATGGCAATTGCAGTTGAGCAACCATGGCAACTGCAGTTGTCCGACATGGCAACCGTAGTTCAGCGACATGGCAACTGCAGTTAAACGAACATGGACGAGGGTCTGGAGCATGTCAACTGCGGGCGCGCGGTGACTGTCACGCGTGGCGTGCGGGACCAGAAGGTACAAGACCTGACATATGGGGCGTGTGAGCGTTATCTACTTCGCCCACACACACGCGTGTGAGAGGGATTGGGAGGGAAAAAAGGGTGTGTGTGGGCATTACTTGTTTTGCCCACACGTAGGTGTGTGGGCTGTTCCTCTTACACACCACACAAAATGTGTGGGCGGATTCCCTAAGGCCCACACGTGTGACACTTATCGGCGTCCTTACTTTTTTTACGAGGAAGTGTTTTCCTCTTTTCGGTGTTTTCTTCCCGGTTTGCGCTGAAAAGTTTGGTCTGGTTACTTTTTTTACGAGGAAGTGTTTACTTTTAGCATGGACCTCTAAAACAGACATCGTATTTGACCATGGACCGATTTGAACAGGGTTCCAACAATGATACACTTGGAAATATTAGCACATTCCCGATTAATCTAATCCACGAGTATACAGTAAACATAGCAAATACGGTATGCATCTCATACCGATACCTAAGCATGCGAGCACGTAAAGTACATAGAACCGGAAAACGATTCGATGATCCCTATAGGGCGCGGTCAGCGAGAGTTCATTATTGGGGACAGACAGACTGGCAAAACAACAATAGCCACAGATACAATTCTCTATGAACAGTATATATACGGCCAGCACGTGAACAAGTAGATAGGGGATGAACGAGTCATACCCACTAGTTGGCCAGGCCAACGCGGCGGCAGCCTCGGCAGCAGCCGAGGTCTTCTTCTTGGCGGCTTCGTCGTCAGCCATGGAGTCGATGCAGGGGTAGTAGTGGAAGCAGAGGCAGATGGAGACGGGAACGGATCAGGAGCAATCGCATCGAGACGCTCCCCAAAAACTTTATTGTCGTTCTCCCGGGCAGGATCTCGAATGACAGGGTTCCAGAGGCACCTGCTCTCCCAACCAACCGTGCACGCGGTCGTCGGGATGGGATCGCCAAAAGCAGCATAGAGACAGAAACAATAGATGACGGATAGGGTTGTGCAAGAGGGAGTGAGTGAACTGAAATAGGTCGCTGCACTGGCAAAAATAACCATTCCTGACCGGCAAAAAATAATATTCGACGCGGCTCATTTCCTAAACACGCGGCGCGCGCGCGTTGTGACGAGGCGAGGCGGATGGCGGCGGAGGAGGAGCGCGCATGTACAACTCGTCTTCCCAAGCTTCTAATGGCATGTGGTAGAGCAACCCTTATAAAGGGGTGTCGCTCTCACTCCATTAGCAGTATGGTACTAAACTTCACACCACTTGCCATGTACCTAAATGGGTCTTAGAGATTAACCAGAGATTATTGTCTTATATGAGCTTAAGCGCATATATAATCCAACAATCTCTCATCAGATCTCGAGACACATAAGTTTGTCAACTATTCCAAACAATGTTTGATATATACCAGAATTTTTAGTGGAGGATGTTAAGTTGAACTTCCACCTAAAGCAACATGATTAGACTTCTTCACAACTAAACAATGGACTGTGCCTTGAATTGTGTGTTTGACGTGTAGAAGTTTCGCCTATTGTCAGATGATACATGGCTGCCGAAGGCTAAACCCCAGGTTTGAAGCTTATTATTCATACTCCTTACCTTCTCATGAGCTTCCTAGAGATTACCCAATCTCATAGAATGTGACCAATAGTCGGGCTCACATAGGTGTGTTCCTCCAAAGAATGCTATGTAGGATAGCATCTTGCTTACGTAAACTTTGGAACACATTAAGACAAAAGTCAGCCTGCCTTACAGACTACAAGAGTATTATTGCATCTCCAACAGAGTGGGTTAATTAAGGATACTATCCTCAGTCGACCGCTGGATTATTTTCTCATGTCCTAATTCACGGGATCTCCGATCACATAGGATGGGTTACCCCCATGGCAACTTACATGGTCTCATGCCCATCCCCCTTGATGCATTTTCTATCACAATTCGTGATAGCCCTTTCATAAAAGGGTCTGCCAGATTTTTAGCAGTCTCCAGAGTTTCTTAATTTTCTGACAGATTTTAATCTTCTTCTTATGTGCTTTGTGGATTCCATGTTGTCCTTTGAACTCTTAGTCTTGGCGATCACTGTTTGATTGTCACGGTTCATAAGGACAGTAGGGACTGCTTTATTAACCACGGGCAAATCCATCAAAAGCTCTCGAAGTCATTATGCTTCGATGCATGATGTGTCTAATGCTATGAGTTCTACTTCCATAGTCGATCTCATTAAGATCATCTGCTTGCAAGATTTCCAAAAAACAACACCACCATCAAGTGTGAACACTGGTACGCGTTGGTGCTATACAAACGGTTTTAAACCCCTTTTCGCGACGGCATTTGGAACCGTCACCTAGTGAGTGTGGGCGATTAGGAGGTCCTTCCTACACGACCCAGAAACTGTCGGGGATAGGGACCCTACAGTACTCCTTTTCATTTGTGGTCGCATTGCCATCACGGTCGGTATTCTGTGGTGCTACGTTTACGATGCCCGACCCATCACAAACGGTTCACTATTATAGAACATGTATGACAAGCATACAATCACACACATTCGCTTTTCACAAATCATATGCGATAACTAATTAAGAAGATTAGCTAATCATCGTACGAGTGTCGGATAGGATTACGAAACGTCGGACCGTCCTAACATCGTCGTACATGACAACTATCGCACACGCTATTCTGTGGTGCAACGTTTACGATGCATACTTCATCAGAAATAGTTCATGGTTGCAAATCGTGTACGATAAGAAAACTATCACAAACGGCTAGTTTGCTAGCACCGTTTGTGATATTATCTGACATCGCGCATGCTAGGCAAACGGCAACTGTGTGCACGCTTGCACACGTTTCCTCTCTGTGAACCATCTCGAATTATGGTGTATATCACAAACGTTTGTATTTTACCAACCCCGTGTGCCGTAACAACCTGGAGAGCGTAATTTCACCGTAATTTAATTGCTGCTATATCAAATTGAAATTGAAATTGAATGTATGCTATAGCTTTATTCATATCCATCGGGTTCAGACAACCAATGAATTATTCGATTCATAGGTACACATCAAGAATTACATAAGAACCAAATAAAGAATGATGAACCATAATTGTATACTTGTACTATTAAAGACGGTAAAGAAAGAGGCAAAATACATTCTGGTTACTGAACAAGGTGAAGCGAAATGCCCATATTGTGCCCTCCTCCATGCAGAAGGCACGCATGACTCTAGTCCAACCCCTTGTGATGGTCAACCGCCCATCCTTCATGGTCTTCATGGAAACATCTAGATAATCATCATGTTCTGGTAGAAATATTTTAACCTTTGCATGCCGACCAATCATGTAGTTTGAGAGGTAATCTTTAGTAAACTGCTTTGGGAACCACTACAAAGGAAAAAAGATTCAGACATTGTCATCTAACACAAC